CAGGGTCGTTTACCAAAAGACTGGAAGAACGCCATAGTAAGTCCTGTCTTCAAAACAGGTACGAAACATAAACCTGAGAATTACCGACCCGTTAGCCTAACTAGTGTGGTTGTTAAAATCCTAGAAAAGATTATTCGGAAAGAGCTGTTTAAATACCTCGATGTAAACCGAATCCTCTCGGAGAAACAGCACGGTTTCAGAATAGGTTATTCTTGTCTCACTAACTTATTAGTCACTCGAGAAAGCTGGTGCGCTTCTAAGGACCAAAAGTTACCTGTAGAGGTGGCTTACATTGATTTCAGCAAAGCTTTTGACAAGGTCCCGCACAACCGGTTGTTATATAAGCTAAAAAATGTTGGAATTGGAGGCAATCTATTGACGTGGATAGAAGACTTCCTTGTTGGGCGCCAACAAAGAGTACGGGTAAACTCAAAATTATCTAGCTGGGAAACTGTGCTTAGTGGAGTGCCCCAGGGTACAGTTTTGGGGCCAGTGCTATTCCTCTTGTATGTAAATGACCTTCCTCGCTTACTATCATCATCGGTCTTGCTATATGCTGACGATGTCAAGATATGGAGGACGATACGATGTAATGGTGATAGCTTAGAACTCCAAAATGACCTGAAGATATTATCCGAATGGTCTGATACATGGCAGCTGCCGATAAATACTTCCAAGTGTGTTGTGATGCATATCGGTCATCAAGGTTCAGTAACATACACGATGAATAACACTGAGCTACCTGCTGTCCAGACACATAATGACTTAGGAGTCATCGTTAGCCAAGATCTGAAGACTACTGCACACTGCCATGCAACAGCCGCCAAAGCTTTTAGAACTTTATGGTCAATACATAGGGCTTTTATTCATGTCGACGCTAAAATATTTTTGACTTTGTATACAGTGTTCGTGCGTCCCAAACTTGAGTACTGCATACAAGCGGCTAGCCCCTGCTTAAAAAAAGACAGTGAGCTTTTAGAAAAGGTCCAGAGAACAGCAACAAAGCTGATTCCCGTAATAGCGAAGCTTCCGTATGATGCTCGACTGGCCAAGCTAAACCTATTCCCTTTGTCATATCGTAGAACTAGAGGCGACTTGATTACAGTTTTCAAATTGCTTAGTGATAAATTTGCACCTGATATGCCCTCATTCTTCCTGTCTTCCAAAACAGAGAATTTACGAGAACACTCCAAAAAAGTTCACAAGCCCAGAACAAATTACTTGTCAGCTGATTATCGACTTTCCCACCGAATCATCAACGAGTGGAATTCATTACCTCAACACGTGGTTGAAGCTCCATCCGTAGATTCTTTCAAAAGAAAGTTGGATCAACTGAGAGAACACAATTGCCAGGACTAACACAGGCCATCAAGCCTCCTGTCCTTTCCAAACTGAAACTGAAACTGATCTGCCTTCTGATATTGACCTACAGGGATCTTATTGGTTAACTGGCACATAGTCTTCTTGTAGTGGTGTTCATAGTCAAGCGCGATTCGACACCACACTACGAGTGTTTAAACATAGTTGTCTACGCAAGATAATCAAAATCCATTGGTCGGATACCATCAGCAACAGCCTTCTGTGTGAGAAGACCAACCAACTTCCAGCTGAAGAGGAAATTAGAAAAAGACGTTGGAAGTGGATAGGACATATATTATGGAAATTACCAAACTGCATCACGAGGCAAACCCTAACTTGGAATGCTGAAAGGAAACGGCAAACTGGAAGACCAAGTAATATACTGCACCGATTATTGGAAGCATATATGAAAAGGATGAATAACAACTGGAAAGGATTACCCAGGACGGTGTAGAATGGAGAGTGTTGTTCGACGGCCTATGCTCTTCCACGAGAAGTAACAGGCGTAATTAAGAAAGTATCGATAAAGGCTAAGAAGACTGGCATTAATATCTAACCCCTTCAAAGCTAAATATATCTAAAGGACTTATTTATTACTTCGAATTCCTAAGGCATCGAAGTCTTAACGTTGAGAAGTGCTGTATAAAATGGTTTATAGTTCATGAGGTTGGGATGATACGCAGAATCTACTTTTTTCATCAATGACCGAAGTTGTCATATAGTTTTGCTTCTTAATTCCAAGTTTATGCCGTAGCTTGGAATACAATAAATAAATCTAAGTGCATCTGAACTAGACAGCTCATTTATATGAAATGAACAATGATATTTTTGTCAAGGTTATTCCTGATACGTTTCATATTGTTTCACTTAGCTGGAAATACTGCTTAAGGTTTAAAGAAACTTGACGGCAGTCGGGAAGTCATAGTGACCTAGTTATGCCCCATTGTAAAACTTCATGCAGATAAATGTTTGGTTTTTGTGTGTAAAACGAACCCCTTTCCAAAATAAAGTTTCCGATATTCTTAATGATTGCTGTACTCCTAAAACGTCATTCACATAGACTTATGCAAAGATACCATGTGTAATGTTTGGTTAAAAAGACTAAAATGTACAAAACTTGCCTAAAATCAATTGTATGTGTAATTCTTAAAGTGTTTATATGCTATATTTTTATTTTGTTAATTTAACATGACCTATGTCTTGAATCGAATGATCAGTGAGTTATGGCATTTGAAAGTTCCTATTCCAAGATTAGGTGATTTAGCCGTAGCCAGAATCCTTGAACAAAGTAGATTGAGACTAGACAAAATGTTCTCCTGAGCAACTACATGATCAGTTGATTACATGTCGTTGAATGTGTAAAGAACCCCTTATTGGCCGACTCAACCAGCACTTTGAAAATGATTCTCCGCGTTCTGTCTGAGAAGTTTAGAATACGTTTGAAAGAGTTGCTGTGTAACTACTGCAAATAAGGTACCAATGTTCAAACAAGTTTAATGAAAATGTAATGCGTTGTGCATTTATTACTTGATATTTATTTGTTAAATATAAAGTATTCTTATCAGAAGGGGTTTTGTGGAGATTGTAGTAATTCCAATGGTCAAGATCATGAGTTAGTGCTTCCAGGTTTTTCATGGTGGTCTAGCTTCAACTGACTCATGATCTTAGCCATTGAAATAAAGTATTCTCTTTTCGGGTAGGCTATCATGACACGCAAGGAACCTGGAAGCTCAGTTGTTACACTGTTAAAGAATGCAACTACATAAACTTGTAACTATTCACAAATCAATTCTCGTTAACAACTCTGTGTTGAAACATCTCATTACCCGAAATTCATCCAGTACAGGGATTTCCACCAACATTTATGGAGATATGAGACTTATTTCAAAAAAGACATTAAGTCTAAGCTCATTGGCTAGTAAAATTCTCGCATTTTCCAAGGTAAAATCCATAAATATTGACTGAACTAATTCTTGCTCACAACTACCGAAACCCCCAAATTTGGCTAACAATCTAAGCAGAAATGTGTTTTCCTGGCAATTATAGTCTTGCGAAAGCTTAATTGTTTACTATTTGCCCCATATGTAATCAGCACTTGCTTAAAACGCATTTCGGGCTGGTACTGCATTCCCTGCATTAATATACAGAGCTGAAACCAACAAATTCTAGTATCCAATATCTTTGACAAAAGCTTCTTTAAACCGCATGATTTTCTTACGCTTCGGCGTAGAAAATAATAGAATGGCAATTTGAGTGCCAAGAGAAGACGATTGTTTGAAGAATAAATAAATTACCTGATTAGTAGTGTGTAGAAAGTACTTGGTAGAATAAGGGGAAAATAGAGACTATAATAAAGGAGAAAGGAAGTGGTAACCGATATATGGTAATGACAACAGTGGTAAATCATGAGACATGCATCAGGCACAACTAGCCCAAGAGGAAGATGACAATCCATGTGCAAGTACGTGTTTGCCAAGTCTCTTCACGCTGCTATCTACTGACGGGGCTGTGGTCACTTCGGCTGGGAAGGCATCTTAAACGGAAACAACCATTATTGAGAAAAAGTAAGGACGTATCTAGATGTTTACTCTTCTATATACAATCTTTCGAGGGTTGTCTAGAGGAGCATAGTGATAATGCCATGATATTAAGCTCATATTGTGGTTGATAGCGCGTCTTCATACTAGGTCTGAGAGGTTAATATTTATTTTGAAGAGAGAAGGTGCGACGACATTATGGACCTCAAGGTGAACCATGAATATTTTCTAAGCAGTGTTAGGAACAATTGTAGGGTGATTGCGCTGAGCTATATTTTCATGAAGCAAGGAGTTTTACTTGCCTTGATTGTATCTCCTATGTTGTTTGAGCTGGTAGCTTGGCTCCCCGTGGTTGAAAGCCTAAAATTACTTCCTGAAGAGATGATCAGGAAATAATTCCCCTGGAGAGTGTAAGTGCTTCGCGTCATATGAGTCAGAAGCGTCATACCACAACATTTTAATAGGTAAAGTTTTGACCCATTGTCCAATGTCCTTTCATCTATTGCTAAGCGTCCTTCCGAAGCTCAAGTGAATCATTTCCACATTTTACGGAATTCCAGATTCTTGCATTGTCAGCATAAATCAGTGCCGACAAGCTACTTTTATCTATCAGGTTGATAACAAAGACCAAAAACAGTAATTTTAAAATTGTTCCTTGTGAAACTCCTGATGTTGAGGCTTTCAACTCGCGTGCATTCTATTTTGGTGGAAAAATTCTGTTCTCTAGGAGGTTTTGGCGTTAGGATAGAAGTGGGTCGGTGAAGCCTACCTAAACAACCTTTGCTATGAGAAGTGTATGGGGTACTGTGTCAAAGGCATTTGCGTAATCGAGAAATATTATATGAACGATCGTTTATGATCTTAGCTAGTCATGTAGCCTTCCTATGTTATCATTAGATTGGACAAGACCTGACTTTCCTGAATCCACGTTGAGCTTCGCGTGGGACGTTTTAATCCATATATTTTATAATTTGCTCATTGATCAATCCTCTCATTACCTTTGACAGTAGTGGGAGTAATGAGGCCGATCCATAACAGGCTGAGTTTTTCTATATCCCAGACTGAAGATTGAAGTAGGGGTGGCTTGCTTTCATTCTCTTGGTAGCTAGTGTGAAGGTCATACACCGGTAAGCTGATGGTTTCCGTGCACTGATTCAGGATTATAAATTGAATGATGTCACTTCCTGATGACTTCCTGGGCATAGGGAGTTTAGTCTTTCTAACACTAACCGGTAATCAAGTTGGATATCTCCTAAACTCTCGACCCACACTAGAGTTGAGAGGTGTTTTGCGCTCACAGGCTCTTTATTTAATTGTTTATGAAGTTAGCAGCAAAGACCTCCGCCATTATAAGGTACGTGAGAGCTTTACCGTTTGTTTCTTTACAATTACAGACACACCGATTCTTCGTTTGGCCTGCGGCAAGCATTCCATAACTCTCTTGATCCAGAGTGTTTGCTTTCCGTGCGTGTAATTACTATGAGGTACACTGCATTGGGTAGCATTTTTAACCATGCCCCTCACTGCTCCACAGTAGCCACCTACTAATAGTATCCACCACTTCCCTAGAGGTGGGATATGTTGAAGATTCTCCTTCATGATAAGTAAGTTTGTTCTAGTAAGACTAAGGTAGAAAAAAGTCTCCTGCCTCCAAAGCATTTCGTTTGTGGCTATGTTAAATATGTTATTGATGTAGCCACTACTTCCTTTTGATGTGTAAACATGGATATCCTAAACTAAAAGCTCACCACCTGTCAACGAACAGCCTAGGTTCGAAGGTTTTAGCGGTATCCCTTGTAGTCCACAGTTTGTCGTATCTAACTCGTACTCAAGAGAATCGCCTAACCAATGGTTTGCGGGATCTCAGTAAAGTTTCTTCTGTAATGTGTGCTGAATCTGAAGTTACCTATAGTGTAGGCAACTTATCTCTTGCTATGATATGGCTCCTATGCAGTCAGCATAGCCTGGCTGAAGTAATACACCATTTGTCTCAATGTTCCTTATTAAAGGCTGTCGTACGTTCTAATAAGCTACTCTCCGAAACTGCAGCAACAACATCTTTTTCTCTCTATTTTGGGGTTTTGGAAGTTATTCTTTGGTCGTTTCTCTTCCCGACGCTCATACTCTGCTTCTTACTGTTATCAGATACTGGGGTGTTAGTGACATTTGGTAATCTCATAGGTATTTGATCTAGAGTTGTTGCTCTTACATTCGCATGTTTGACTGAGCCTGTGTTTGAAGATTTGTATTCGCTTATGGGGATTGTTTATTCCTTTGATGTACTTTTTTAATACACTGCGGACAAACGTACCAGAGCCACGGGCAGGGGCGATCTGACATAAAGCCATAGTACTCCCTAGGTACTTCAATTTCACAGTGGTGGTGAACACAGCCACTACCGAAATTACATTTAGATGCCGAGCATGAGATACAATGATTGTTTTCATATTGTTTCTCTCCGGTAGCTAGTACCACAGGTTCTTTTCTTCCATTATGCTTTAACTTACTAGTCTTACTATAGAAGTAGGGATCTGTGTAAGCGTATGATCCTGAGTACCTTGTTGGAGATTCAATTTTGGTGTTTGAGTTGAGTGATCCGTGTTGTACACATTGCCCTGCGGTTCTTTATCTGGTGCCTTCTTAAGGCTTCACATAATCCTGTTGTGAAAAACGGGAATTTCAGAGTTTTTATTAACTTCTGAACTTAGATTTCTACCTCTGTTGATCATCCTTGCAGTTGTAGTGTAGGTACTGGTGGCAGCATTATTACTGTGCATGCTACTCAATAGACTAAAAAGTAAAATGTGAGACAATTTAAGGAGGAAGTACACAAGATGAAGGTTTCGAAGGAGAGGAATAACAGAAACAAATGAATATATGCTACACGAGAATAAAACTTGAATGACGCTGAAAATTGACCGTCCTACCGAAGAAATTCTCATGAATCCAGTAGCTTATCCGTAATTCATCCCGAGCTCACAATTTTGGGGAAAATTTTACCTATTTTGGGGAAATTTAGGGGAAGTTCTGGGGAAATGGCACAAAAACCCCAAAATTTCCCCAAACGTTGAGAGCTTGGGGTGTTTTCACAAAAAAATTAATGTGTGTATGTTGAAGTTGAAGCGATTATTAATATAGCAGTTGATCGAGACATCTGGAACCACCCCACAGTGGTTCTATGGTGTGTGGTATTTATGCAGATATAAGTAGTATATGACGTTAGTCAGGAACACAATGTCTGGCAGCAGAGAGACAAGAAAATCGAACAGTAAAAAGTGAAAACAGAATGCAATTTGTATAAAAATGCAAGAACAGTGAAGTATGAGTCATTTTGAGATAATTGATAGAAATTTGGCAAATTAAGCATTTGCTTTATTATTGTTAGATTTTATCAACACGTTCTGTAATTTGTTGCTAACTACATTCGATTGTCCTCACTTGAGTTCTCCTTCACTACAGTTCAACCATGTTATGATGGCTGTATATGAGTAAGGTATAAGACGCAGCTCGTATCCTTGGAAATGTTTAAATGATCTAATGTGGTAGTAGTAAAATGGATATTATCAGTTGAATGCTAAAAATCGACTATAAGAGGCTCGTCTGTGAATCAGATACAAGTAATCTTCCTTTCAACACTATCCATACCTTACATCTCGCATTCAGAAGACTGTAGTATTACTAACTGTGGTGTTAAAAGGAACAAACAAATAAAATGTACAGCAACGAACTCTAAGAAGTAGGAGTCAACTAGGTAATCAAATGAAATCGTAAAAATAATGAGGTCAAATCACCACCTCGGATCTTTGACGAACCACTAAAAGACAACGGTGATACATTGAAGTCTTTTCTCATTGACCTGAGCAAATGGATTAGGAACAAGATAATTATTAACTGCCAATATTGACATTGCGCAGAACTAAGCTTTCAGTACATATATCACTTACAGTAGAGACATTTTGGTTAGTAACACTTGTAATTGGGGTAGACCAGAAATATATCAATTCCAAAAAATAATGACAAATGTTGAGATCATGAGTTGATTGAAGCTAGAGAACTATGGAAAACCTGGAAGCACTGGACGGCCGTTTCGTCCTATTGTCGAATTCCTCAGCAGTGCGCATCCACTATCGCGCCATGCGGGATTCGAATGCAGGACCTACTGGTCTCGCGCACGAGCAACCATAGTTTCAACAACTGAAATTACTAAAATCTACATAAAACCCCCTTCTGATAATAATCAACATACGCTAACTAGTGACTGGCTTCAAGATGTATATCCTGGGGTTCTAGTGAGAAACAGTGACCAGTGGATTATAACCGGGTCAGTTGTGTGATAATAACTCACTGATGCAGTGGTGGATGTGTCGCTCAATTTCATGGATTAGTTGAAGTTAGACATTAATACCGTTGGATACCAGTTCAATGGTCTGGTGGTTATGTGCTCGCTTGTGAGACTGTTAGGTCTTGTATTCGATTCCTAAGAGGCGGGATTATGGATGTGCACTGCCAAGGAGGTGTCCCACAATAGGACGAAACGGCCGTCCAGTGCTTGTAGTTGTCTAGCTTCAACTGATTCATGATTTCAACTATTAAAAGTAAAAATTATATTATAGTTTGTTCTAAAAACAGTTACACTGGGTGAAATTGTAAACAATAGTTTAATCAAGAATTAATTAGGTGAAATAATAAATTTTCCATGACGGATATATTTCATTAGTTACTATCTTCACAACGACATTTGAGTTTAATAAAATTTAAGGATTGTTTTTAGATTAGATATTATGTAACTTGGCACATGATTCCATATGATTACGTCTAATTTTAATATCTGACATAAGGTACTCTCTCTCTCTCTCTGTCCCTCCCCTGATATTTATGTATATATATTGAGGGGGGGGGAGGAAATATTTGAAACTATTCTCATTGGACAATAAATTGAAGAAGAAAAAAATTAGGAAAAATAAATACATCATTAAATTGAACCAATCAAAAACAAGATTAAAATGATGATCATTACTAAATTAACTTATCAAAAGTAACCTTAACAACAAACCGAGTATATTTACAAATGAAGTTTCATTATTATTATGATCATTGATATTACTAGTGATTTGTATAGTTTATTGAAAATGAATTCTATTCAAATGATCCTTTTATTATTATTATTATTCTATACGGATTGTTTCAATTGTACAACTAATCAATTTCAGTACTCCACTTTGACATTTTCATCAATTAAACAATCAATTAATGAAATGAATTGGATCATGAAAAACGAAACTACTCAATTGTTTAAATATCATTTATGGAAAGTTTTAAATTTATCACAATTGAATATTATGACGAAAGTATCAACTCATCATGAACTATATCATAATAATACTTTAATCAATATAATAAATGATAAATGGATTTGTCAAAATCTTTCAAAAGAACTATACCATAAAGATTTAAATAGATTTATAAAACTTTTAATAAATAACCATTTGAATGATTCTCATATTGATCAACAGGAAGAATTCATCAGAAGTCTTATTCAATTATGCTTCTTAGATAATAATCAATATATTGGATGGTATTACTATTATTATTATTACAATCAATGGTATAATTCAACAGAAAGATATATAATTAAAATTCTTTTAAAAGATACATTGATACCTATATTATATTTTTTAAATATATTTACAATGATATTTATAAATTGTCCAATATATTACTTATTAAGTCAAAGAAGAAGTAGTATACACAATTCTATATGGTATTTATTAACATCATATTCAATATTAAAGACATTTTATGTAATAATATTTTATTTACCAAAATTAATTAACAGTTTATTAACATTGTATAAGAATTATGTAATTAATCTTAATGGAAGTAATACTACTTATTATAGTTTACAAGATTTAAGTAATATATCCTGTTCAATATTTACATTTATAGAATCTATATTAGATTATACACCGAATTGGATTATGATGATTATAGTATGGGAACAAATAATTAAATTTATTTTATATAGATCATATTCAATTCATAAATTACATTATTATTCTTATGATTTATTATGTAAAAATTTAATTACAAGTAATTATCAACAATGTTATAGATTACAAAAATCAATTATTAATCAATTAATCAAAGAAAATTTGATCATAGAAACAAAACAAAAATGTAAATTTATTTCATATTATTATTATTATTATTATTATTATTACTATTATTATTGATTTGTATCATTCTATTGTTATTTAGAAATGTAATTGATCAGTCTCTATGATTTATTAGTAGATGTATATCCTGTGAGGATTGCCTTGATATAACTTTAAGTGATAAGCATTCTAAATAAAAATAGATAGTGGATAGTTTTGGAAAACAGAATGCATGTTTTGTTCTGTTTATGACTTATCAGCTGGATGTACTTGCATTTTAAACTTGTTGATGTTTATTCTAGAATTTGAATCCAGTACAGTTTACTTTAAATGTTATCGAGTTATTTATTCAGCTACTGAGTTCTGATAATCACCTGCTTGTAGAACAAAGTGAAGTTTAAATTCAGTTGATATTGTTGTTAATTTAAATCTTCCCATTGATGTATAGGACTGCAATTCATCGGTCTCTCTTTTATTGGTATATGTGCATACTGTGAATGTTGCCTCAATATTGCCTTAACTTACAAATATCGTAAGCAAAGATAGATAGTGGCTAGTAGTGAAATCCAGGATGTACATTTCGCCTTATTTAAAACTCGTCCTGATATTTACCTGCTTGTCTAATTGGGTGAAGTTGTATTCACTTGGTATTGTTTACTTTTATCTTCCCATTGTCATTTCGGACTGCAATTGATCAGTCTGTTGTTGACATATGTACATTTTGTGCGGATTGCCTCGATATAGCCTTAAGTCACAAGTATTATAAGCAAAGATATATGGTGGCTATTAGTGAAATGCATGATTCGCATTTCGTCCTATCTGAGAGTCTTCAGCTGGATATACCTGCACTTCAGAGTTGATATTCACTCCAGAATTCGAACCCACTACCGTTCGCTTCAAACGACATCGTGCTGTCCACTTAGCTACTGACTCCTGGTAGCCACTTGCTTATGCTTATGTTGCGGAGTGAACATCAACTCTGGGATGCAGGTACATCGAGTTGGCGAGTCATAAATAGGACGAAACGCGATTCTTGGATTCCATTGCTTTCCACTATCCATCTTTACCTAAAGAAAACAAAAATATGTTGATAGTTAATAAGATTCAATTGAATTTAATGATGAATCAAGATCTAACGAATTTTAAATAGAAAATCAATCATAAATTGTTATATGAATTCTAGAGAAAGTGATATTTTATTTGTATTTAATAATTAACCCTCCTTCTTTACCTGGAATTGGTACCGATAGTAACTCTACAAAAACTACAAATGGCGTTTTCTTAATAAACACAATGAAAATATTATCAGAAGGGGTTTTGTAGATCATCATAGAAAACCATGAGGCAATGGATAGCAGTTTCGTCTTAGTATGGAACTTCTCAACAATGCATATTCACAATTTCACATCTAGGATTCGAACCTATGACATTCCGTCTCACATGCAGACGTCTAACATCTAGACCATTCAGATGGCATTCAATGATATCAACGTCTAACTTTAATCGATTAATGATCTTACACAACTAATCCATAAACAATTTTTTCCACATATTACTCTTTTCTATATTGTTATTATTTAAACAGATCATGGATTAACATTATTTAGCGCCAAATTAATTACAATTACAATTATTGTATTACAAATAATTTTAAATGTTCATTTAATTTGGTTATATGATTATTCAAATGGTAAATGTGAAATAGATATAGAGAAACATTCACCAATATTTACATATTTATATCCATATTTATTACGAGTAAGTTTCATTGAACATTTAATAAATCTCTATTTTTATAAAATAAATTATTAACATCAAGTAATAATATGATTTGATTTTATTGTTAAGATCATGATTCAATTGAAGCTAGATCATCATGGAATAACTGGAAGTACTGAATGGCCGTTTCATTCTAGTGTGGGACTCCTCACAGGTGTGCATCTCGAGGTTCGAACACAGGAGCTATCAGTCTCACGCATGAACACTTAACCTATAGACTACTGAGCCGATCGGCATCCAACGGTGTTAATATCTAACTTAAACTAAATAATTTTTTATGGTTAGCGTTTTTTTTAACGAGTTGGTTTTCCACGCGATAGGGTCACTAACCCCATGCCCAACCCTCCTCCTTAATACGGGCTTGAGACCGGCAGTAGCCCCCGTAGGGACTCCAGGAGAAGTTTCTAACTTCAACTAATCCACGAAATCAATCCCCCATCCGCCATGGTCTTATGAATTTAACTATAAAACTACTAAAATTTCCACCAAACCCCTTCTGATGATAATAATAATGTGATTTCTCAATAATATTTTGATCATTCTTCATGTCTCCATGATATATATATATATATATATATATATATATATATATATATATATATATATATATATATATATATATATATATATATATATATATATAACGTAATGATACCGCCAATTAGAGAACAGTGACATATCGACTGAATCAACGTAGCATAAAACCAGTACGAACAGTGTAGAGTCGTTATCACTTCTTCTTCCTGTCTAGCCCTGCCGGTTTGTTGAGTCCAGAACACCAATCTCAGCCACTGCGATATGAATCATTTATTCTAAACATATTGGGTTTATATACCAACCAAACAGACCACATCGTACCATAAAATGGAAAATAACAATTGAATGAGATTTAGCTAAAAGTGACTGTGATAGTGAGAGACTGCCATTAATAGACTAGGCATCACTCAAGAATGGTGGATCGTATAATAACAGTTCATAGGTCAAAATAAAGCTTATAATATTATTTATTTATTTATTTATTTTAACACATAAATATCGGTACAAGAAGGCACCAAATACATATGCGCCACACAGATCTCATTTGATATGTGTGAGGGCTGTGATACTGCCCAGGTGCCCAAACCGAAGCAGGTGGTTTACTTAGGGGGCCACACACCTCGAGCCTTTGACCTGAAGATCTGATCCACAAGGCAGTGGAGCATCGTGAGGAGATGCAGTCCCATGGTAGCCGGTGACCAACGATTGGTTCATACGCCATTTGTTCCCGCAGGATACTGGAGCCCATGTGCACCATTGGTTTGGGATCCGGTTAAAGCGCCGGACATTCGCTTTTCGTCCTCTCATTTCTGTAAACAGCACCCCCGCCACGAGAAGGCAGTGAGCAGGGCTTCCCTGGCAGAGGCTGTATACGCGTGGCCATATGAGAGCATTTCGAGAGGGGGAGCGGACTCCCCCCACTCTCGGCCGTACCAGGGCATTTGGGGGCAAAAAGCTTATAATAAGAGGAACACGAACATAAATAGTTTAGTTACCTAACAATTATATAATAAGAATAAAGAGTATTGGTCTATAAATCGATCCCCAACGTTACCCTTCATTATTTCCATCGGAATATAATAAATGTTAGACATTTAGGGGTACAAATCGCAAAGAAATCGAAATTGTGGGGGAGGGGGGCTAATTTAAAAATGTAGTTTAAAGGGCTTAATCAAATACAGGTTTTGCATATAATTATTTCAACCTCAAATAGTTTCCTTGAGTCATGTGCATTGATGATTTCTTTAAATTTGATTTGTCAGTATTCGTCGTGACAATCAATTGGCAATCACAATGCAAGAGAATGTGAATATGTTTGATGTTTTCTTCTACACTGGAAATTGATATTCATAATGGTTTCGGATCATGAATCCACTATTCATAGGTCTATCTGAAATGTTTGTTCTTCATGAACAACCTTAAAGAAGTTATGAATTGTTTGTAAATTCTTCTTAAGCTTCATTGGGATCTCATTAGTTGGTTTCGAGTATTTAATCGATATATTGTACTATGTACTGTAAACTTGGTGTACAGCTTAACATGTGCAAAATAAAGAATTCCATTTACGAAAAAGAGATCAGTAAAATGAATCAGTCATATGGACAGTAGCGCAATTTCGTGAATCGGTTGAAGTTAGACATTAACACTGTTGAATACCGGCAAGTTCAGTAGTCTACAGCTTAAGAGTTCGCTCACGAGACCGATAGTTCCTGTTTTCGAATCCCGTAAGGCGGAATCGTGGGTGCGCACTGCCAAGGAGGAGTCCCATACTAGGACAAAACGGCCGTTCATTGCTTCCAGGTTTTCCATCTTGGTCTTGCTTCAATTGACTCATGAATTCAACTACTAAATAACACATAAGTAATGATATAATATATCAAGTTATCAAGCTATTAACAACACGCATAGTAGTATCTTGATCTTCTCCCTGATAATTCATTTCAATAAGTAAGTCAACATTGAAATGATAAAGAATTCAATCGAACAAGAATCCATTTGAAATTATGAATGGGTTCATCCTACATGATTATGTTAAATCTATTAAAAACATTGTGACAAAGCATTCTATTTCATTGTACATAATCACTTATACAACAGATTCAATTCAAAATGTCTTAATGATCATGTGGTTAGGGTTAAAGCTATATTATTTTAAATTTCTTTGTTTTCATGACAAAACCGCTAATTTTCACCTTCATGTTGTATTTCCCACTTGGGAGAATTTTAAACGTTATTGGTTCGTTATATCTTTTTAGTATGCTGTTTTGTAACGCTTCGTAATGACAATTATTTTATACGTTTGATTTCTGCTTATCGTTATCGCTCGTGCTTCTGGCTGCTTACGCAATATATTTTCTCGTTTCGAACTTGAACTTCTCTCTTTAGTTAGAGGGGTTGGGACTCATTAGAATAGCTAGCTTATTGGTCTTTGGTCACAGAGTCTTTGTTACGTTCGCAGACTAGATGAACTCATAATCACTTCAAACATAGCACAGAAGGATTATATATCTGATATATGTTTGATCTTTCTAATTATGAAACACGTTTATTGTATAGACTTTTAGGATTTCATCATATATCATACTTCAGAGGTATTTATTATCAAAAAGGTCTAAGGACATTTTACCTACAAATGTTACAAAACTGTGAATTAGGGAAAGATCAGATAGGTTTAATGTTATAGCACTGAAGTCATTTTGTATTAGATTCAAGAGTTTCAAACGACTTAAAATGAGTAGATCGTAAGAAAATTCGTTATGAGTTTCATTACTATCTCATATTGTTTATATAAAGTAACAGTAGACGATTACCATTCAGATCAATTTAAACTTGCAATGACCAAACATCTCCATAATACAGGAGATCAGATTGATACTTCGTAATCTATCAAGGTAATTAGTATGTAGCCAAAATTCAGTCTTCTGAAGTTTGCTGAATCCGTCGCTAACAGATGTCATAAGGCTGACTTGTGTGTTCAAAATGAGATAGCTACTGATCTTTTCTTGTCTTGGTGACAAATATTCCTTCGTTGCATTGTAAACTTTTCTCTTGCATTTATTAGATTATTGAGTTTTATTTCAACTATCTTCCAAATTAGTAATCTTATTTTATTAACTGAGGTTTACCGATTGTTCTTCCTATCAACGTTTAGTCATTATGTAATCACTTGTTTCTGGTCGTTTGAACTGCTGTCACAATCAATGTTGTAGAAGGTTCTTCCACATATATTTACAATATACAGTCTATTCAATATATTTATGCCTTTGTTATACTATACTAATGCGTCTTTAATATAACTTCCAACTAAAACATTTCATGATAGATTTATTTATTATTTCTTTGAACACATAAATATTGATACAATGGGGCACAGAATACATATGAGCCACATAAGTCACTTGATTTGTATGTGTGCTGTGATACTGCCCGAGTTTCCAAACCGAAGTAGGTGATTTTCTTAGAGGGTCATACCCCGAGCATTCGACCTAAACGTCTGGCTCACAAGGCAGTGGAGCAACGTTAGGAGATTCAGTCCCATAGTAGCTAGTGACCAATAATATGTTCATACGCCATTTGTTCCTTCAGGATACTAGAGCCCATGTACACCATTGGTTTGGAATGAGGGTTTTCCAACTCCTCTCGGTGGATCCTCCATATCCACCTGCCCTTTAAAGAGTCAGACATTCGCTTTTCGTCCTCTCAATATCGTAAACAACACCCGTGGTGCAAGAATGCAGTGAGTAGAACTTCCGTGGCAGCGATTGTATGCACGTAATCATATGAGAGCATTTCAAGAGGAAGGGTGGACTCTCCCTACTCTTGACCGTCTCACGGCATTCGCAGTTGTAAGCTATTGCATACAATTGACATGACCTAAACAAAATAAAATGAAATTCATACATATACTACTAAAATCTTTATTCTTAATTGTTTTCAAAATTATTTCTACATTTAAATTTGATATACCTATTTTGTTTTAATAATCTCTCTTCATATTCTTTATTAGATTATTCAATGTTCAATACCAAATTTTGGCTGTTTCATAGGTATAATTGTTTATATAATATATAGTTTAATGATATGTCGATTAAATCATTCCAAATCTAATTCAATTAAATGTGATACATTTAAATACACACCATATTCCATTGATAGTACTTCTCATCATTTAACAAATTGTTCAATTCCAATGAAATCATCTATAGATCAATTGAATGATAATAATAATAGATTAAATCAAATCTATAAACGAATTCATATTAAAAATTATACTATACTACTAACATGTTCATTATGTTCTAAATCAAAATCATTACAGCATACTTTATGGAATTCTTCTAATACTACTAATATTATACATCATGATTCTATGAAATCTATACATGAATTACAATTCATTAAATCATATCATCATAACAGGGATTATGATCAACATACTACTACTAATAATACTACTCATACTACTCATACTACTCCTGAACATACTACTAATAATCAAAACAAAATGGATTCAATATTTCTATTTTATAATACTGGAAAGTATTTAGGTTTAATATTAGCTATATATCAAGTATTATTTAATATCCCTATAGATATTGAATGGTATTATATACAATATATAAAACAATTACGTAATACTACTAATACTACTACTATTACTACTACTGATACTACTAATATTAGTAATATTGAACAATTTTATCAAATTATTAAATTTTGGCATTTATTTAATTCTATGATAAAATGTTGGTCATTATTACAATTATGTATATTATTTTGGTTAACTTATTTATTTAGTCCATTAGTAAAATATCAATGTAAACAATTAATTTATTTCAAGAAACAAAATTATATAACATGTTGTCTGTGTAATTGTCATTGTAATTGAAATTGTAATTATTGATTATGTAACTGCATATATGTTATGTGAGATTTTAAGATCCATGATTTATTCACTTTGCATTCTTCTCTCCTTATGATGTCTTACTTATTTGATAGAATGGTAATTTCAATGGTTCAGATCATGAGTCAGTTGAAGCTAGACCATCATAGAAAACCTGGAATCAATGTTTGACAGCCGTTTCGTCCTATTGTGGGACTCCTCAACAGTGCTCATCCATGACCTCGCCCCCTGCGAGATTTGAACCCAGGACCTATTGGTTTCGTGCGCAAGCATTTAACCACTAGACCACTGAGCCAATCAGCATCCAACGGTGATAATGTATAACTTCAACTAATCCATGAAATTGAGTGACACATCCACCATTGTCTTCAGTGAGTTACTAACTCACAACAGACCTGGTTGAAGTCTACTGGTGATTGCACTATTATTTTGCTCTCTCTCTCTCTCTCACCCTACTTGACTCGTATTTATTCGGATCATGGATCTTGAAACATTTCACTTAACATATACGCAGATTCAACTTAACATTCTATATGAGTCATATCAACATTAATAATTTTATTGTATTTTGTTTACCATAATCCTAAATTCACATACTTTAAACGATGTACTTTACCCTTAATCTGGCCATTTTTCGGATTATTCATTTGGATATATTGAATGTTGGAACCTCAAGAGAATTTGTTGAAAAGAATATTCTTCGTTCAAATACTAGTCTTTTAATATGATGGGGATCTTTAAACGATTATGTAACTATTGATTATTATTATTATTATTATTATTATTATTAGTAGTAGTAGTAGTAGTAGTAGTAGTATTTCTATTTCATTATATTATAATCAATAAATCATTTTTAGTATTATTGTTTAATTGTTATTGGTTAACTATTCACATGTGAAACTGATAAAACTTAGGTTTTAATCTAGTGAGCAGGGATCATGGATAAGCATTGACAAAGAGGAGTCCCACAATAGAACGAAACAGCCGTTTAGTACTTCCAGGTTTTCTATGGTGTTCTAGCTTCAATCGACTCATCATCTCAACTATTGAAGTTATTATGATATGTAACCTTCTGATATTGAATACCCATTTTTTAAAATTATATTTCAAAGTAGAAATGATGATAGTTTGTATGTAAGTCAGTGAAGGTTGATCAAAATTATTGTATTTTATACGTTTCTACGTATATCGGATAATAAATAATAATTAATTGATTAGATAATAGTGAAATTTGTGAACTCAACACTTTTACAGTCATTTACCTATCTACCTACCTATACACTTACTTCACTAACTTAATTACTTACTAGCTTACTTACTTACTTACTTATTTACTTACTTACTTACTCACTTACTCACTCACTTATTTACTTACTCCGGATACCCCTCGTAGAAGAGCATAAGCCACCAACTACCAATCTCCATCCAACTCTTTCCTGGGCAATCCTTTCCAGTTCTTTCCAGTTGTTATTCATCCTTCTCCTGTTTGCTTCCAACTCTCGATGTTGTATGTCCTTTGACCTTCCTCTTTTTTACTTCACTTCACTTTGCTTCCAAGTTAGAGCTTGCCTCGTGAAGTAAATTTTCAATTGAATTAGTTTTCTTAATTTTGATAAGAAAATTACTCCTATCGAGAGAATAATATCAATTAATTTCATTTGCTATTGTTTACTTGAATTTTCTCCCATTGATGACTGCAATTGTTCAGTTTCACTATCTTGTTGGTATTTGTGCGTCCTGTGAGGATTACTTCGATATTGCCTTAATTCACAGCTGAAATGTTCCAAATAGGATGAAATGCGCGTCTTGGGTTTCAATACTAGCCACTATCCATCTTTGTTTATAGCAAATAATATTGATGTCGATGGTGTAATAAGAAGGCGAAGATTATCAGAGCTATATGATAATATATTAGCGCAATACATTTCAAACAATCTGATCATATATAATATATTTGTTAAGAACATTTGTATCTGAAGAATGAAGGATCAACTCGACTAGAAATGGAGGGTATGAGAAGACAAGGATTAAAAAGAAAACAATGTGAAAACAATTTGAAACCTCATCACCCTGGATAATTATCAGAGTAGGTTTAAGGTCAGAACAAACTGTTTTTGAATACACAATGGGAGTTTGAATTTTTGTATGACTAAGGTTTCAATAAATCTGAGTTATGATCAATCTTATGATCTGTTTTAATTATATGTTTGACAATAGAAGGTCATTTGATTCTATTTGTTTCTGTAACCATTTAGGTACATGTTCACATACACCCTAATTTAGAGATCACTACTGCTTCTCCCTATGTATATATGACCAAACACACATTAAAATTAGTATCAGAAGGGGTTTTCTGGAGATTGTAGTAATTTCAATTGTTGAGATCATGAATCAATTGAAGCTAAACTACCATGGAAAACCTAGAAGCACTGAACGGCCGTTTCGTCCTATTTTGGGACTCCTCAACTGTGCGCATCCACGACCACGCCACAATCAAATATGACACAATCGTCTTCATGTCTTTTAGGTTTTAGATGATAAGTATCTTGATAATTATCTTCGCTGCACAATATTATCTTATCAATGACTAATTTAAGCCTTTGTTTCAATACAAGGCTATTTGAATCATCTCTAAATGGTAAAATGCTGTAGACACGTTTTTACACCTTAGACCTAACCTGGTAGTATATTGCGCTAATATATCATTACATAGTTCTGATAATCTTTGTCTTCTTATTACATAATCGAAATTTATCATTGCACAAACAGGTGGCTATCAAAACTCAGTAGTTAAATGAATAACATGATGGTGTTTGAATCTAACAGTACTGGATTCGAATCCCGGAGTGAACATCAACTCTGAGATGCAGGTACATCCAGCTGACAATTTTCAAATTGGACGAAACGCGCATCCTGCATTTCACTACTAGCCACCATTCATCTTTGTTTAGAACGCTTACAACTTAAGCCTATATCAAGGCAATCCTCACAGGATATGCATCTGCTAATAAATGATATGAGACTGATTAATTACAATCTTAAATAACAATAGGAAGATACAAGTAGAACAACACAAAGTGAATTTAAAGGGATTAATTGTTTTATATAATGTTGATATTCTCTATTGGAATAATTGATCCGATGATTTGACATATATATCATTGAATTAAATAAGGCTAGAAATGAGATAAATCACATAAGGTTTATTCCGTTTATTTCTTTTACTTTAGTCTTATCATAATTGTTTATGAATACCTGATAGAAATGGATAGTAGTAGGCTAATTAGAAGTAATCAAATGAGAAGGTCATTGAATGACAAACAGAAATAACCTAAAGGATAACTGTATATTATTGGTTAGGAAATGATTGATTTTTCGTTCCTTTTTTTTTCGAAGAGTAAAAATGTATACATGTAAATGAGTATTTATGTATATTATGCTGTAGGTCAGTAGACTTTTACTCTCAATTTTATGCTTAAGGGGGGACAGGGGGCAGGGGTAAATATGTGCCAGGTTGTTTATCAGTGTTGAATCTCGGACACTGTCTATCATAATAGTAACCAATATTGTTTAAACAACGTTCAATTATGGTTAATTCCTGACGTTTCTGAACAGCGTTCTAATCGAGGCTTTTTATTGTAGTTTATTGGGTGCAAGCTATTGAGGTTTTAATATAATCCACTTTATATATTCTTACGATAAATATAACTTGCTAATAGACCATTTGTATTATGCTTCATATCAAGATCTAGAAAATGAAACACATTGTCATATTCGTGTTGTATTGTATTTCTCACATTCAGGTGTGCTATATTGGAGTCTGATGTGGTTGAGAAGAAGCACGTCTTCCTAAGAATCGACTTCAAGGGTGACAAAATAGCTGGAGAGGTTGATCTCAGATTAAAGCAAACTTAATTACGCCTGATATCCCTCGTAAAAGAGCATAGACCGCCCATCACTAATCTCCATCCAACCCTGTCCTGAGCAATCCTTTCCAGTTCTTTCCAGTTGCTATTCATCCTTTCTCTTCTTCGTTTCCATTCAGGATTCCGAGTTAGGGCTTGCCTCGTGATACAGTTTGATGATTTATTCAATGTATGTCCTATACACTTCCAATGTCTTTTTCTAATTTCCTATTCATCTGGAAGTTGGTTTGTTCACTCTCACAGAAGGCTGTTACTGATGGTATCCGGCCAACAGATAAATACCTGTAATTTTTGATGATGATTGTAGCAGCTCTCCAAGTTTTAGCTCCACACAATAGAATTGTCTCGACGTTCGTATTGAAGTTTCTGACTTTGATATCGGTTGACATTTGTCTTGAATTCTATATGTTCTTCAACTGTAGGTATGCTGTCCTTGCCTTGCCCATCTTCACCTTTACTTTGGCATCGGACCCTTCTTGTTCATCAATGATGCTGAAAAGATACGTGAAAGTTTTCACCTCCTCCAGAGGAGCTTGGTTTTTCCACTGTGTATGTTGAGGCCTTTTGTTCTAGAGGCTTTTGCTACACTGGTTGTCTTCGCCTACATTAGTTGGTGTTTATGGGATAGAAGAGCTAGGTCACTTGCGAAGTCCAAATCATCTAGTTGCATCCAACCTATGCATTTTATTCTGTGTTTACCTAAAGATATG